AGAACAGGACCTGCCACATGTGGGGGTGGGGGGCTTGGCTGCTCCAGCAGTCAGGAACAGGACCTGCCGCATGCTGGGGCCAGAGGGAGGGGGGTTGTTCTGGCAACTGGGAATGTGTGTGATAATAAATTGGGTGCCATGGTGGCATACATACAAACCAGCGCACGTGACCTCACTATTGGTGCACAAGGCAAAACTCACTCTGCTCATGGTTAGAAAACCTTAGAGGGAACACTGGTGACAGGGTTTGGATGTGACTCCATTGTAACAAACACTGACTTGCTGATTTAAACAGCCTGCTTCCCCATCTTGGGTAAATGTTCTAGCCCCTGCACTCAAAGCTGGGAGGGAACTCTCTCCTTCCACCCTCTCCCAGGCTCTTTGCAGTAGCAGAAGTAGCCTCTGGTAAGACCTGACAGCCTGGGCCTCTACCGGCCTTCCCTGGGCTTGTAAATTGCACTGGGGCTTGAGGGACAACCAAGGCCTGGGTGCCTATAGGGAACTGCTGATTGTGGCCTGAAACCTGTCCTTTAACTTTCTGAAATAGCTGTCGGGAGCATGGCTAACATGATGCCAATTTTTAAAAAAAGGATCCAGTGGCAATCCCTGTTTTTCCCTGTGGGGCAGCCAACCTTCAGTACCAGGAAAGTGGGTGACCATAGTCAAGTACAGAATTACCCTCCAGAGATGCACATGATTTTTCAGAGAGGAATCAACAATACTTTCTGTAAAGAGAAACCATGCCGTACCAATCTATTAGAATTCTTTGAGAGGGTCAATAAATATGTGGATAAGAACAATCCAGTGGATATATAATACCTAGACTTTCAGAAAGCCTTTGACGAGGTCCTTTACTGAAGGCTTTTAAGCAGTGTAAGTTATCATGGTTGTGTGGGAGCATTAAACCTAACATTGCTGCAGTTAACTGCAGTGTCCCCTCTAACATTTTTTGTCCTTGGGCAGACTGAATTTTCTTTTTGGAGGGTTGAATTTTCTTATTTGCACCACCAATATTGAAGTAGTGTGTTGATGTATATCACCAATACAAACAAAACACAAGGGTGTGTGTTTGTATACACACACACACTGTATATATATATAAACTATATTTTAAGCAGTCCATATATGTGGAATAAAATATATTAAAAAAAGATGCCTGTGACTAGTTGCTGTGAGGTACTCTTAGGCTTTGTCTACATTGCAGGGTTTTTGCACAAGAAGCTTTTTGCAGAAGAGATCTTCCACAAAAACTTCTTGCATCAAAGTGCGTCCACACCTCAAAAGTGCATTGCAAAAGCGATGTGCTTTTACGCAAGAGAGCGTCCACACTGCATGGATGCTCTTGTGCAAGGAAGCTCTGATGGCCATTAGCAGAATGGCCATCAGAGCACCTGTGCTTTTTCTGATAGGCTCTTTTTGTGTAAGAAACCCCTGCGGAGCATCCTCATATGCCTTTTTGTGCAAGAGCTAAAGTTATGCTTTGTGGGGAGAGGAATAACTCTACCATCAAACGCCCCCTGTCCTGTCGAGGTACTGTATTTTTTGTGTGTGCAAAAACATGCTTGAGGTGTGGCCACTCTGCCCGTTTTTTCACAAAAACCTCGTAGTGTAGACATAGCTTTAGTGACTACAAAAGTGCTGTACAAAGGTGGGAACTAGTCTTCTTCCACTGAAGGAAGGGTAGAAGCCACAGAACAAATTATTGCCTCCTCTGAGCTAAGAGAGTTGTTCCCAGAAATTTTCTCTGCATTTTAATTTGTTTTAGTTGCTCTGTAACACTTAGCAATCAAGTAAGCTTTATCAAGTATATCTTTTGTTTTGTTAATAAAATCATTTTTTTAAGGTGATGATTTGGTTCTTTTGTTCTGGAAAGTAACAGGGGGTCTCTGTGTGTCCACCTGCCCAGACAAGGGGGGGGGGGAGTACGTCAACAATTGAAATTTGGAGAAAATTGTTGTTTTAAGTTTTAAACCCCTTTATTTTTATGTTTTACTTTGAGCGAAGGGTACCCCTCTGGGAGGAATTCAAGTGTCCCCCCTCCCTGTTTTTTTTTTTTAGGGTAAATCACTTGATGTTGGTAGGGTTTTTTTCCTCAGAGCCAGTGCATCTGTGACTCTGGGGAGTTTGGTAAGTAAAGCCTATAGTGCAGTCATTCTTTATCCCTTGAGGGGTAAGTTATCCCCAGGTTATTTGGCATATTTCAAGGGGTAGTGAGCTGGTCAGCTACACACATTTCTGATAGAGTAATAACAGCAAAGAAAATATGTCTTAATTATATTATTAAATAGAACTAATCCAAAGTAATGACATCAGAAAATCTGTTTAATTTACTTTATTTAACAATATGCCTTTTTGTGCAAGAGCTAAAGCTATGCTTTGCGGGGAGAGGAATAACTCTACCATCAAACGTCCCCTGTCCTGTCGATGTACAGGCAGTCCCCGGGTTACATGGATCCGACTTACATCGGATCCCTACTTACAAACGGGGCGAGGCAACCCCGCACTAGCTGCTTCCCCCCAGCAGACTAGGGAGACGCGGAGCAGCTTTTCTCAGCAGACACCTCAGCTTGAGAAAAAAGGATTGAGGGAAGTGAGGTGTGGGAGAATAAAACTGAGCTCTGGAGAAATGTTTGGCTAGAGTTTCCCCTACAATATGTACCAGTTCCGACTTACAGGGGAGAGGAATAACTCTACCATCAAACGCCCCCTGTCCTGTCGAGGTACTGTATTTTTTGTGTGTGCAAAAACATGCTTGAGGTGTGGCCACTGCACTACATCACCTCAGAAGGAACAATAATAAAATATTGTTAAATAAAGTAAATTAAACAGATTTTCTGATGTCATTACTTTGGATTAGTTCTATTTAATAATATAATTAAGACATTTTCTTTGCTGTTATTACTCTATCAGAAATGTGTGTAGCTGACCAGCTCACTACCCCTTGAAATATGCCAAATAACCTGGGGATAACTTACCCCTCAAGGGATAAAGAATGACTGCACTATAGGCTTTACTTACCAAACTCCCCAGAGTCACAGATGCACTGGCTCTGAGGAAAAAAACCCTACCAACATCAAGTGATTTACCCTAAAAAAAAAAAACAGGGAGGGGGGACACTTGAATTCCTCCCAGAGGGGTACCCTTCGCTCTTTTACCCCAAAAGAGCTTGAAAAAAACAGAGAAAACAGGCTGCCTTCTCTGGTAGCTGATGGATGAGTCTGGGCAGGTGGACACACAGAGACCCCCTGTTACTTTCCAGAACAAAAGAACCAAATCATCACCTTAAAAAAATGATTTTATTAACAAAACAAAAGATATACTTGATAAAGCTTACTTGATTGCTAAGTGTTACAGAGCAACTAAAACAAATTAAAATGCAGAGAAAATTTCTGGGAACAACTCTCTTAGCTCAGAGGAGGCAATAATTTGTTCTGTGGCTTCTACCCTTCCTTCAGTGGAAGAAGACTAGTTCCCACCTTTGTACAGCACTTTTGTAGTCACTAAAGCTATGTCTACACTACGAGGTTTTTGTGAAAAAACGGGCAGAGTGGCCACACCTCAAGCATGTTTTTGCACACACAAAAAATACAGTACCTCGACAGCACAGGGGGCGTTTGATGGTAGAGTTATTCCTCTCCCCACAAAGCATAACTTTAGCTCTTGCACAAAAAGGCATATGAGGATGCTCCGCAGGGGTTTCTTACACAAAAAGAGCCTATCAGAAAAAGCACAGGTGCTCTGATGGCCATTCTGCTAATGGCCATCAGAGCTTCCTTGCACAAGAGCATCCATGCAGTGTGGACGCTCTCTTGCGTAAAAGCACATCGCTTTTGCAATGCACTTTTGAGGTGTGGACGCACTTTGATGCAAGAAGTTTTTGTGGAAGATCTCTTCTGCAAAAAGCTTCTTGTGCAAAAACCCTGCAATGTAGACAAAGCCTAAGAGTACCTCACAGCAACTAGTCACAGGCATCTTTTTTTAATATATTTTATTCCACATATATGGACTGCTTAAAATATAGTTTATATATATATACAGTGTGTGTGTGTATACAAACACACACCCTTGTGTTTTGTTTGTATTGGTGATATACATCAACACACTACTTCAATATTGGTGGTGCAAATAAGAAAATTCAACCCTCCAAAAAGAAAATTCAGTCTGCCCAAGGACAAAAAATGTTAGAGGGGACACTGCAGTTAACTGCAGCAATGTTAGGTTTAATGCTCCCACACAACCATGATAACTTACACTGCTTAAAAGCCTTCAGTAAAGGACCTCGTCAAAGGCTTTCTGAAAGTCTAGGTATTATATATCCACTGGATTGTTCTTATCCACATATTTATTGACCCTCTCAAAGAATTCTAATAGATTGGTACGGCATGGTTTCTCTTTACAGAAAGTATTGTTGATTCCTCTCTGAAAAATCATGTGCATCTCTGGAGGGTAATTCTGTACTTGACTATGGTCACCCACTTTCCTGGTACTGAAGGTTGGCTGCCCCACAGGGAAAAACAGGGATTGCCACTGGATCCTTTTTTTAAAAATTGGCATCATGTTAGCCATGCTCCCGACAGCTATTTCAGAAAGTTAAAGGACAGGTTTCAGGCCACAATCAGCAGTTCCCTATAGGCACCCAGGCCTTGGTTGTCCCTCAAGCCCCAGTGCAATTTACAAGCCCAGGGAAGGCCGGTAGAGGCCCAGGCTGTCAGGTCTTACCAGAGGCTACTTCTGCTACTGCAAAGAGCCTGGGAGAGGGTGGAAGGAGAGAGTTCCCTCCCAGCTTTGAGTGCAGGGGCTAGAACATTTACCCAAGATGGGGAAGCAGGCTGTTTAAATCAGCAAGTCAGTGTTTGTTACAATGGAGTCACATCCAAACCCTGTCACCAGTGTTCCCTCTAAGGTTTTCTAACCATGAGCAGAGTGAGTTTTGCCTTGTGCACCAATAGTGAGGTCACGTGCGCTGGTTTGTATGTATGCCACCATGGCACCCAATTTATTATCACACACATTCCCAGTTGCCAGAACAACCCCCCTCCCTCTGGCCCCAGCATGCGGCAGGTCCTGTTCCTGACTGCTGGAGCAGCCAAGCCCCCCCCCCCACACGCTGTCTCTGTATCAGAGGCAGTAAGGGGGAGGGAGAAGAAGCCATCTCCACGGGGTAGAGGGGGAAGGCGAGGGGAGGCAGAGGTGCAGTGGGAAATAGCTCAAGTGTGGACTGAACCAGTCCCCGCTCCTGCTTGTCCAACTGCTGTGCCTCTGCCTTTTAAATGTAGTGAGAGCCCCACACTCAAGACCTCTGCAGGGCTTTTGCTACATTTCAAAAGACAAAGGAAGCACAGAGGGAACCCAGGGTGAGCAGGGACTCCAGCAGTTTCCGTTTGCCCCAAGTTCCCTGCTGTGCCTCTGCCTTTTAAATGTAGTCCCACCCCAACAGCCCCCTCACCACACCAACTCAGCCAGCCCCACCCACCAAAGCAGCTGCCTGCTACGCGAATAAGAATTTTCCCCAATATGCAGCGATTGGAAAGCTGTGCTACTTTTCCCATTTCTAGCACTTTTCTTTCATACCATTTGGAATAAAGATCTTTCTTCTTTGCGTGCCTGCTTACACCCATTCCACTTAGGTGTGTGCGTGCTGCGTGCACGGGTTCTGGAAACTTTGTACCCTTAGCAGTACCCATTGGTCCAGCCGAGGAGCCCTCTGGAGTGGTGCCAGTATGACCGCCCATATATTCCCCTGCTGACCCCCCACCCCTCAGTTCCTTCTGACCACCATGACGGTTGCTGGAACGCTTAACTTGGAATCGCAAGTGTGCCCTTAGCACTCTTATCTCATGTAAATAGTTCCTTAGTGTAGTTACTGAGGTTTTTGTTGTTAGAATACAATTATAGAATACTAGGACTGGAAGGGACCTCGAGATGTCATCGAGTCCAGTCCCCGGCCTTCGTGACAGGACCCAGCACTGTCTAGACCATCCCTGATAGACATTTATCTAACCTGCTCTTAAATATCTGCAGAGATGGAGATTCCACAACCTCCCTAGGCAATTTATTCCAGTGTTTAAGTACCTGACAGTTAGGAATTTTTTCCTAATGTCCAACCTAAACCTCCCTTGCTGCAATTTAAGCTTCTTGTTCTATCCTCAGAAGCCAGGAAGAACAATTTTTCTCCCTCCTCCTTGTGACACCCGTTTAGATACCTGAAAGCCGCTATCATGTCCCCTCTCAGTCTTCTCTTTCCCAAACTAAAATAGTTAGTAGATAGTTCATTCCCATTGTTCCCCCTCCATGAGGGGGAGGAGGGAGCATGCCAGGACCCCAGGGTTTAAACCCTGCCTGCGGTGCTCGAAGCCTATGTCCTGTGGTGACCCACACAGGGACAGCCTAAAGTGCCTGGGGGAAAGCAATTTGATGGACTCGTGTAAGATCTGTCAGTCCTTTAAGCTAAGGACTGAGAGAGAATGGGACTCTAGGCTCAAGTTACTCCTAATGGAGTTGGCACCATCAGCGAGGAGCGTACCGGGGCTGATCCAAGACACTGGACCCGCATCAAAGCACTTTTTGGCATTGGAAGCACCGGCCGGTGCCGAGGCACCGATCCCAGTCCCTGGCACCGAGTGCGCAAAGAGGGAGATCGCCCTCGTGATGGGACCAAGGGACATGTCATGGGGGGGAGGCTGAGGCTTCATCTCTGGTATGCCATCGGTGCAGGTGCGCAGCCCAGAGACCCAGGACCTGTCCATGGAGGAGGTCCCACAGCTGTCAATGCCAGATACTTTTCTGGCAGCCCAGGAGTTCGTTGAGCTCACATCTTCCCCGCCCACCTCCCCTTCATCGGAATGTTGGCAAGAAGGAACTGAGGGAGTGGGGGGCCAGCAGGGGAATATATGTGCAGTTACACCGCCACCACTCCAGGGGGCTCCCCAGCTGGAACAACAGGAATTGATAAGGGTAAAAAGCTTCCAGAACTAGTGCATGCAGTGCATGCACTCATAAGTGGAATGGACATAAGCAACACACCTTGAAGAGCAACAGTTATGAGATAAGTAACCATTTTTTTTCATAGCATCATAAAACATTAGAACTGGAAGAGACATTGAGAGGTCATTAAGTCCAGTCCCCTGCCCTCATGGAAGGGCCAAGCACCATCTAGATCATCCATGACAGATGTTTGTCTCACCTGTTCTTAAATATCTCCAGTGATGGAGATTCCACAACCACCGTAGGCAACTTATTGCAGTATTTAACCTCCCTGACAATTAGGAAGTTTTTCCTAATGTCCAACCTAAACCTCCCTTGCTGCAATTGAAGCCCATTTTCCCACAGAGCAATTAAAAGGCTTCTCTCCCATGTGGGTTCTCTGATGTTGAAGAACTCTGATTGAACCTTTTTCCTCAGTGAGTGCTGTTGCCTGATCTAAGATTGTGTGTCAATTTTTAATTACCACCTTTAGGACAGACAAGTCCTGTGTCCTAGGATCAGGCCCAGAATTCAATTATTCTAAGCTTGGGAACCCTGATGTGCACAGTTGCAACACTCACAATATAGGAACTCTTGTATATTTACAAATATAGTTTATTAATACAGTTAGCACAGTCACAAACACCCCAATTTCTGTGTATAGAGAGTGAGCATCCATATTTCCTTACCCTATATTTACATCATTCCTTCTAGAACAATCTTAGGTGTTAACCCATCACCTTCCCCATGATCACCAAGGGCCATGATTCTGGCACCTTCCAAGGGCTACATCTTTTTCTCCTCCTACCCCTATGATGGAATGCCACTTTTATAATATGTTGCTCTGACATTGATATGTTTGATGCATATTCAGTAGGGAACATTTCTAATGTTGAAGTGTCCTTTTCCCTATAGGACAATGTATCATGGATCTCAACTTGGCCTGAACCAGTTATTTTGGGACTTTCCATGTAATGATGCAGCTGCTGAGTCTGAGGATATTTTTCCTATCACTTTCCAAACTTATGTAAGTCATCTTTGCTATCTGGGTGAAAGGTCCTAGACATATGTCCTAACCCCCACCCCCTTCAGTCCAGGGAAGCTATGAATAAGCTATGACTCGTGTCTGAGTGAGACCTGTAGCTCAACCATGGAAATGTGCAAACGTTAGCTTCCGCTTATCTTGCAAATGACCTATTACAGATTTCCTTTCCTGTTACATAATGACCTTTTACAGATTTCTTGCATTACAGCTCTTAACTATTACTTCTATACTAACTCTACCCATTAATATATTCATTAATTAATCTGAATCAACACAATATTATTATTAACATGATAGGCAAGGAAATTAACTCTGTCAGCTACAGGGCACTTACTAGTTTTCTCTACTGTATGGATTCTTCTATGTCTAAGAAGGTGTGACATCTGCCTGAAAGTTTTCCCACAGTCACAGCAGTTGAAGGGTTTCTCTCCTGTGTGGATTCTCTGATGTCTAATGAGATGTGCATTTCTAGTGAATCTTTTCCCACAGTCAGAGCAGCTGAAGGGTTTCCAACTGGTGTGGATTCTCTGATGTTTAATCAGGTTTGAATTCTGACTGAAGCTTTTCCCACAGTTAGAGCAACTGAAGGGTTTCTCCCCTGTGTGGGTCCTCTGATGATCAAGGAGACTTGAACGCTGATGGAAGCTTTTCCCACAGTCAGAGCAGTTAAAGTGCTTCTCTCCTGTGTGGATTCTCTGATGTCTACTGAGACGTGATCTACTACTGAAGCTTTTCCCACAGACAAAGCAGTTGAAGGATTTCTCGCTTGTGTGGATTCTCTGATGTTTAATCAGGTTTGAGTTCTGTCTGAAGCTTTTCCCACACTCAGAGCAGTTGAATGGTTTCTCTCTTGTGCGGATTCTCTGGTGTTCAATAAGGCTTGAGTGCTGATGGGAGCTTTTCCCACTGTCAGAGCTGTTACATGGCGTATTGCTTGTATGTAGTTCCTGATGTTGAATAAGTTCTGAGCGCTGACTGAAGCTTTTCCTGCAGGTAGAGCAGTGAAAGGGTTTCTCTCCAGTGTGGATTCTCCTGTGTCTAACAAGACCTGAGCGCTGACTGAAGCTTTTCCTGCAGGCAGAGCAGTGAAAGGGTTTCTCTCCTGTGTGGATTCTCCTATGTCTATCAAGGCCTGAGCGCCAAGTGAAGCTCTTCCCACAGTCAGAGCAGATGAAGGATTGCTTTATTCTGTGGTTTCTCTGGTGATCAGTAACACCGGATTTCCAATGTAAGCTTTTCCCACAAGCAGGACAGTCACAGATTTTCTCAGTTGGATGCTTTCCTTGATGGGTAATAAGATTTGAGTTCTGACTGAAGTTATTCCTATAGTCAGACAAGCTGAAGGGGTTCTTGTCAGAGTGGATTCTCTGGTGTAAAATGAGGACCTTTCTACATTGGAAACGTTTCCCACAGTCACTGCAAGCGTAGGGTAACACTTGATGGGGGGTTTTCTGTTGAACAGTTTCTTTGTATCTTTTCATCCTTCTGCTCCTGTGACTAGATTTACCCTGTCCCTCCACTGTATGGTTTCCCTGCTGCCTTTCTGGGCTCCGCTGACACTCAGAGGTCTCTCCCTGCCCAGGACTCTGAGAAACATGCCCTTCAGATCTTCCCAATAAGATTTCACATGGAGCAACTTGTTCCGGTCCTTCCTGATGAAGGCTCCCCTCATTGTTCTCACTCAGCATCCCATCACCTGCTGGGAGAGAGACAGAAACCAGACCGAAGTCATTCCCTGTGCTGAGCTGAAAGGGCAACAGGAAAAGGGGGAGAAAACACACAAACAACTACTGTCACAGCCCCCCACATGCTTCATGAACACCCGATTATGAATATGAATTTTCATAATGCATCTTCAAGACAGGCATAACAGGATATGCAATATACCATTTTTAAAGTTACAGTCTCTTGAACATGTATGTACTATCTTTGTGCATGTATCACTTTTGTATGTGAAGTTAGACATATGAAGTGTAAGCATGTTTATAGTTCTAAATGTGCTAACGAGGGCCATTAGTGATATGTTAGGAACTTAGTGACTCAACCCTCAACCACCAATGATGGCTCCTTTTTCCCTGTAAGCTCAAACTGTGGTTGAGCCTACAAAGTCACATGACCATGCCACTCGGTACTGGAATCCAACTTGAATCTCATACTTTTCCATGGGGTTGAGGAGTGTGACCTGGGGGAAATCTATATAAGGAAAGGAAAGTGATCAGGGCTTTGTCTTCAGCTGGCCTTAGAAACTGCCTCATCCACCATACGAGGATAAACATGAAGAAACGTGAAAACACAGAATCCTGAAGAACTCTGAAAAGCTGTTGAGTAGACCCAGGTCAGAGTTAAGATCAACTCTGTAACGTGAAGTATTTTAACTGAGATAGAATGGTTCAAGGTAAAAATTTGCATGTAACAAGTTTTAGTGGATCAGAATTAGCTGGTGTATGTTGTTTAAATTAGCAGTTTGCTTTGATCTGACTGTTTTCACTTACAACCGCTTAAGTCTTACTTTTTATACTTAATGAAACCACTTTTCTTTATTATCAAGCCAAGTGTAAATGATTGTTACCTGGGGAGCAACCACTGGGCATATCTAACATCAATACTGGGCAAATTAGTTGAAACTATAGTAAAGAATAGGATTTTCAGACACATAGATAAACACAATTTGTTGGGGGAAATGTCAACATGGTTTTTGTATAGGGAAATCACACTTCACTGATTTACTAGAGTTCTTTGAGAGGGTCAACATGCATGTGGACAAGGAGGATCCAGAGGACATAGCAAACTTAGATTTCCAGAAAGCATTTTACAAGGCCCCTCACCCAAGGCCCGTAAGTAAGTTATCACGAGGAAAGAGGGAATGTCCTTTCATTGTCCTCCTGTCTTTTAACCAGTTAACAAAGGGTAGGAATAAATGGTCAGTTTTCAGAATGGAGAGAGATAACTAGTTATTCATCCACCCTCCCTCAGCCCCAGCCTCTCTCACTGGAAGGAAATGGCATGTCACACAGATCAGCCACGGTCAGGAAAGGACTCCAGGAATCGCTCCCTCCTTCCAGGGGCTCAGCCCACTGGCACAAGGGGGATCCGACAGGCACTAACTGCAGCCAGCCCCCCCCAACTCTGGTACTTGTCATTCCTCTCTGGGCCCTTCCATTGAAACCTCTGACCAAGGCACAACATGGGCAAGATGGTGGGGAAGCACATTGAGACCTGGGGTGTGGGAAGAGCAGCACCATTGTTATGTCCCTGAACCTGCTTCCCCTAGGAGGGGGACATCTAGGGAACAGTCTCTCACTCAGAAGCCAGGATTATTGGGGCTGTTACTCCTGACAACAGGGGGAGGGGAAGGGAAATGAGGGACCCTGAACCAAACCCAACCCACCTGCTCCAGAGCCCACCCAGCTTCTAATACCCAAGGGGACAGGAATCCTTACCCAGCCAGCTCACAGCCTCATAGTTCTCCTGCATCACATCCCAGTAGAGGGCTCTCTGACCCGGGTCCAGCAGAGCCCATTCCTCCTCAGAGAAATACACAGCCACCTCCTCGAAGCTCACCGGCTCCACCACAGCCATTTCCTGTCCCTGGCTCTGCAGGCCGTGGGCTGAGCTGGAGCAAGACATGGGTGTTCTGCAGCCTGTTGGGGGAGAAGGGTAATTGGAGACATTTCAGAAGGAGCTTTAATCCTTTCCACACCCCCATTCTGCCCAGACTCTGTTCCTGGTGACACACATGCTAGACTCGGCCATTCTGGGCAAATGCTTGAGTCTAGAGAGTCCATAAACAACACACACAAGTTAGATCCCAAATCCACATTCATTTCTCTCAGTGCCTGGCTTGAGTTTCAACATTACTGCACCTGCAACAATGAGATTCAGTTCTGTGCGCCCAGTGTTTCTGATAAACCAGCCACTTATTCTGCTGTCTGAATACGGAGGACAGTGTATTATGTTTCGGCTCCTGTGTTTAAAGCCCCTCCCTTTCTCTGCAGCATAGACCTAAGCCCTCTCACCGGGACTAAACCAACAGAGCCTTTATAAACCAGGGGTCCAGAACCTTTTCAAACCCAAGAGCCAAACTACATCAAAATTCAGAACAAGCGGTCAACAAAGAGCGGTCTAAGAAAACCCATTTGCATGAAAGTCCATGTGCCAGATGGAAACAGGATTGGGGGGAGAGGGACCTGCTGGCTGACACTGACATGCAACAGAGGCTGTACAGATGGACCTGTTGGAGGTGCAGCCACTGGCAGCAGCCATGGGGAGGGGAACAAAAAATGGGA